ATATCGCGAAACTCGTTACGATCGATTTCGACGAAACATTTACACTTCTCTAGTTACGACGATATCTGGTATGGAATTTTTCTTTTTTTGTTGTTGTTGTTGTTGATTTGCTTTTTTTATAGATTAAAATATCTTCGATGACTTGACATAAGTCGATCGAGTTTCATTTTTTCAATGAAGCATATATTTTTATATCACACGTTTTACCTTACATATCATCATCCATTGGTGTTGATTTTACAATAGACGCAAAAGAATTATATATATATATATATATATATATATATATATATATATATTATTTCTTTTACATCATTATTATATATACATAGATAGCTTTTAATTGAATGTAATGTTACATTTTCAAACAATTTTTATTTATTATGCTCCATTATATATATATATATATATATATATATATATATATATATATATAATATTATTTAAACATCTTATTTTATATTATTTCATTGCAGAATTATTAAGACACTAAAAAAAAAGAAAAGAAGATTAAATTTTACCGAAAATTTAAGAATAAAAATTAAGTGATAAAAAGTATTTATTCGTTGAAAATATTGTCCAATTATTATTCTAGAAAATTTTTTACGAAAAAGGAGATGTCCAGGCCATACAATTTTTTATCCCATACTTGCACCGGGAGTTTCAACTTTAAGTTCTAGTCAATGACCAATCACATTTAGTATTACATTCGTACGAAAAAGGTCCGAGTTGCAGCAGCGGATACGCAATACGTTCGGTCTTGAATGGCAATAGGGTTTTATTAATATAGACGTCGTTCATTGTAACGCACTGTGTGATCCATAGCGCACAGGTTATATCTCGAACAAACGGTAAATAATAGAATTTTGTCGTATTGAATCATCATACGATCGATATTTATTACTACGATGTTAGAATTATTCAATAAAAAATATTAATATCATATATTAAATATAAAATACTAAATATTATTTATTATTCAAAAGTAAATATAACTTAGCGTTATTTACGTATAAATATAAAATATTTAAAAGGATATATCATTGATACGGAGAAGAAAAATTGTGCAAGAAATTCGACTCATCGAAGAATCATATGTAGTAAGAAATTCTTTGAAGGGACTACTTTCATAGATCGTGTATCATAGATCATTTATGAACGTTGATTCATCCAAGAGAAATGTATTCAGACAGGATTAAACATTGGACGGACATTGGCTGAAATTCAATTCTTAGAGACTCGAGAGACTTTAATGTCTGTATACGAAAGACTACTGTAATATATATATAGATATATATAAAGAGAAAAGAGATCGATGCCGGTGAAATTGTAAGGATCTACAAAAGATTGATAAGATTAGAGAAATAAGATTAGTGCAATAGATATATATATATATATATATATATATATGTATATATATACCTGTGTACATATGTAAAATTAGAAATCCTATATGAATGTATATAGATCTGTGTATTTGGATCTGGTGTATGTATATACTTGACAAAAAAAAAAAAATAAAAATAAAATAAAAATAAAATAAACAAAAGAAAAAAAGAAATAGAAAGATGAAAAAGAAAAAGAAATTAGCCAGCTATTGTTGACGTATAAAACGAACATCCCTTTTCTCTCAATTGTTGACTCGTTTCTCTATTTGTCTCGTTTCTCTATCTAGTCGTAAATTATGTCACTAGAATTGCATTGTAGTTCAACGACGTGGCAGGAAAAGACATTGTTTCCTCGTCATTCGTTTCGCCTTCCCTCGAGATACCGCCTTCGCCTTTGCCTTAGCAGCCTTGTAGGTAAGTATCTGACTCTGCTCAGTTCGAGTATTCTCGAGTGCTCTCCTTGTCGAGAGAGAAAGTCTGTTTTTACATATATAGGTATATACCTACTGATATCTATGTGTATATATATATATATATGCATGTATATATGTATGTATGTATCTCCGCAGCTTCTTATGTCTACCTACGGAGTATTCGAGATCGTCTCGATCCATCGAAGTGTTTTGATTTAGTATCAAGTATTTCCTTTATTTTCTAAATTGATAAACTATTCTCTGTATCATATTTATCTATATATACATATATATATATATATTATTTTATTACATTAATATTTATAATAAGCATTATTAAATATTCCAGAGTTATATCGTAATAATAAAAAATGTTATTAATTGAAATATTCGAATAAAAAATGAATATCAATTTTTTAAAAATTCATTATTTGACATGTTCTATTTACTATACACACACACATATATATATATATATATATATATATATATATATATATGTATAACAGATAAATATAGATAAGAAATAATGTATAAAACGAATATCGAAGATTATTTTAGGTTATCCAGAGTTCGGGTCCTAATGGGTCGACATTCTTCTTGCGCAACGAAACGCAAAGACCTTTAACGCGACAGCTATTGCCTTCTATATATTATAGTTGTCGGTAGTTGTGCTCGCAACTATTGGCTAGTTTATAAGGCTCAGGGTTTCACTGGGCCTTGACACCTACAGTGCCATTCGCGAGACATCTCTTCGACATCACGATGAATCGATGAAAAAATATATGAGCTATTTTACTATCGATCAAATACTCTACCAATTAATTATTCCTACGGAACATCCGTCTAATAATTATAACTATAATCGTTATATTAGAAATTCGATGATAACAATGTTATATAAGAAGATAATAACTATGTAATGATTTTAATTATATTGAATATCCAATATTATATAAAGGAAAAGAAGAAAGTAGGTAATCATTAATATATGCGAAGAATTCTAATCATCCGACTGCTAATAAATCACGATTAGAAATTCATTATCAATAATATTATAAAAAATAGATTTAACGAATATTAAATATAATATAAATATTCGATATTGTTGAATATCTAAGATAATCTAATCCTTCGACATGACAAACTAATTGTTATTAGAAATGAAGTATCAATAATATTAAGTATAGATGGAAAAAAAATCGTAACGATGAATATTAAATATAAATTTGTTTAATATTTTTTCCTCTTTTTTTTTTTCATAAAACACGAGGGAAAATAATTAATCGTATTAATAAAAAACTTTGTAATATCTTTTAAGTACATACATTCATACAGTATATAATGTTCTTCCTGTATTTTGCAAAGTTTACTAAGTATTAGCCATCATCGATAACGGAAGCTTTGCTTTTCACTCGCGTTTTTTTCTTTCAAGGCTTTGCGGACATTTCTGGTAACTACTCAACTCTTCTTTTTAACGATTACCAACCACGACCATCGTACCATCAACTTTTCTTGCATATTTACATTAGCTAATTCTCGTGTTGTTGCTTATTGTGAAAGCGTTTAATACGCTAAAGTCTACTTAGAATCGTATCAACAAAAAAAGAAAAAAAAAAGTAGTAAATACGTCCAATTGCATTATTATATCTACGCGTTCCTTAAAAGTAAATTTTACAACGTAATGTAAGTTCATTGACAGTGAAATTATTTTTCTTTTTTTTTTTTTTTTACAACGAAACGTATAAGTAATATAACGTATAAATTAATAATGAATTCTATTATTTTCTAATGAAATCGTTGATAATGAATTCTATTTTACAATACAATGGATGAGTAATTTTACAATAGATTTAGTAATGAATTTTTTTCCACTATATAACGTATATTCACAAACAATTAGTCATATTTTACGATTTAACAAGCATTCATGAAAAAAAAAAAAAAGAAAGAAAATTAATTAAATTTTACAACGAACATAGTCCATAATTAAGTTCATTGTAGTACACCAATCAAATATACTCTATATTATGCTTATACGTTAACGATATAATAAACAATGTTGTATGTTATACAGACGTATATATACAACGTAAAACATTGTTTATATATAAAATATATATATTATATATAGATTAATATATATTAGATATAGATATAGAATATATAATAACACAAATAATAATAATAATTATAATAATAATAATAATAATAACAATAAACGTTTCAAAACGAATATAAGAACGATGCTAACTGTGATAGATAGTAGGGAGTTTAGAAGCATAAAGGATCTCTCCTTTTCTCTCGTGTACATCGAAGTCGAGTTCGAGCTACGTGGTGTCCAGTTTTCATTGCACTGGTGGGGTGTATCCAGGTGGCCGTGGTGGGTGTCGTATAAGTAGAGGTCTGCCTTTGCCGCCGTTCTCATACCCTCACCACCACGTTCTCCGACTACCTCTTACTTTTACTCCGAGACTGAACGTATCTTTCTTTCTTTCTTTCTTTCTTTTTTTATTATTATTATTATTATTATTACTATTATTATTATTATTATTATTATTATTATCATCATCATCACTATTATATTTCCCTTCCCCTTTCTCACTCTTTTTTCACTTTTCTCCCTCCTCTCTCCTTTCCCTCTATCTATCTCTCTCTCTCTCTTTCTCTCTCTCTCTCTCTCTCTCTCTCTCTCTTTCTCTCTATCTATCTATCTCGAGTGTATGTGTGTGTGTTTGTTTATTTGTGTATGTTGTGTGTGTGTGTGTGCGTGTATGTGCGCGCGTGTATGATCCAAGATCTCCACGAGAAAATCATTCGTTTTCTTTCGCGAGCCGTACGTCGAAGTCGCGCGTACTCAACGACAGAGACGAAACAAAGAGGAAAACAAATCAAATATCTCGCTAATGATCTCGATCGAGAGATAACAGCGATGATCGCGTGTGTTGTACGGTGACGAAGACGCCAAAAAAAAAAAAAAAAAAAAAAAAAAGAAAAGAAAGAAAAGAAAAAGGAAAGAAAACGGGATATATACGAAGGAGTGTTTTCAAAAGACCTCATTGACTTAAAAAATAAAATATATATGTATATATACATATATATACATATATATATATATATACATACATACATACATATGTTGGAAGAATATAATTAAAAAAAATTATATAGCATTTATCTAAAAAAAAAAAGAAAAAGGAAAAAAAAGAAAATAACGAAACAAATTGTTAAGAGATTTGTGAGAAAGAAAAGGAAGAAGAAAGTAAAAGGAGAAAGAAGAAAGTGTGCTGTGCAGACATGTGGCTGATAAACGTTCTTTTGTGAGTACGACGATGATTCGGTGCCTTCGGATATGAAATTTTCTCATTTTAATTTTGTTTGTTTTCTTTTTTCTTTTTTTTTTTTTTTTTTTTACTTTTTTTTTTTCTTTTTTATATTTTAATCCTCACTCCTTCTCATTTTTCATCTCGAGTGTATCTTTACCTGTATATATATATATATATATATATATATATATATATATATATATATGCGTATGTTCCTGTGTGTGAGTGACGAAAATTTAAAAAAAAATATATGTCTATTTCACTTTCGGACAAGTTTTACAAAGTGAAAGGTTGATTAGGTATTCACGTTTCGAGAGGAAAATAATCGAACGTTTGGTCGATCGTATCGAATCGAAACGGAGAACGTCGTTTCTGTCCTAAATTATTATGGCGTCTCGATTGATAGATCTTAAGTAAGAAATAAGAGAAATTAGAATGTAAAGTAATTGATTGTTTTATGTGGAAACTTAAATCAATTTCATTTGATGAGAAAATAAAGTTTAGAAAATGATTTCAAAAGATCATTCGTCCAATTGGAATTGATTTTTTTCGTTGTGATTAAAACGACCATATGTACGAGCAAAATGATGAAAGAAAATAAAAAAATAAAAGTAAAGAAAAAAATAGATTCGATAATTATAAAATTAAAAAAAAAAAAACAAATATATATATATATACACATATATTTTCAATTTAAAAATATTTTCATATAAATTGAGATCAATTCGATGATCGAAACGACCATATGTACCGAGACAGTACTGAAAAGAAAGTTGTTGGTAACACAGACAGATCGTACTGGTAAAATATTATCTTACGTCTGAAAAGAAAATTAACTAATAAAATAAATAAAATATATCTTATTTTTACAAGATATTCATTACATAGTCAATTAATCTCAGTAATATATTTTTTATTATCACAACAATGAGACTCACACATATGAATTCACAAACACATATATATATACATATATCACGCACACGCATGATAATACATAGACAATTACTTACCTAAGTCTTATCGAAGACTCACTTCAATGTGGTAATATTATAACTTATGTAAGTTAACGGTTTCGTGTCACTGGAAATATTCATGTGAAGAGAGTATACTCTCGTGTACATAGATAGTTATATGTATGTTTATAATAGAAGCTACAGCTTTCTCCCATACGATTTCACAGTATATATATATATATATTTCCATATACGTTATATATATATATCTATTTTGAAATATCCATAGTAAATTAGAATCTAATAATAATATAATACGTTACAATAATTTATAATAATTCGATTTAAATGTTATTATTTATTTCCCTTCATATTATAATAATTCATAATCATTCTAACATCATGATAGAGAAAAAGCATATGGTATAATAATAAAACTAGTATTTCCACCTGCTATATATATATATATATATGCGTTCTAAAACGCGAAGGTACACGAGCTCTTTGCGAACCGGAAGAATCGGCCAGACGGAACGACTGAATCGGACAACAGCGAGTGGTTTAACGAGTGTCGCAAACACTTTTCGTCATGTTTCTAACGCATAGATACATACACATAGATATATACATATATATATATATATATATATATATATACAAATAATTATAAACTTTTACAAACGTACTTTTAGCAAGTCATTTTTCATATTAGATAGATTCTAGTAGATTATTAGAAGATTGATTGACTTAGTAAATGAACACGACATATATACAGATTCTCTTTTTCTGTTCCGTTAATTCTGTTTTCTTTTTGTTTGTTTGTTCCTTCTTTTTTTTTTATTTATTTTTTTTTTTTATTAAGGACCTTGCCGAAAAGTTAAAAGACACAAGGGCTAATTTAGCGAGTTGCTATCCTTCGTCGAACGATAGCGAACAAAGAAATCGATCGTAACCGATCGACCTTGTAAATGCAATATCGATTGGCGAAAGATACTTGATCCTCAGTCATTTTTATCTATCATTTGATTTGTCAGAATTCTATTTACACACACACATATATATATATATATGAAATGATTAAGTATATGTATGTATATCTATATTTATTAATTTATTACGTTAATAGTATACTCTAATATATATTAAAAGAGTTATTATAATACTATTGATATAATACTATTAAAATAGTATAGAAATAATTAGTATATTAATACCATTTATTACAGCATCTATTACACTATATATAGGTATATATATACATATATATATATATATATACATATATATATATATATATATATATATACTTTTATATACACCTATATATATATAGATTGTTCCAAATGATCCAAATTAAATTCACAAAAGTCGTTCATCCGAAAGACCTTGAGATTAAATTGAGGACGAGGACGAATTTACGAAAGACCTTCGCTTTCTACTCCAATTACAGGAATTCTCTTCCAATCTACTTTAATTAATTTCGTTTTACGATGGAACCAAAATTATGAACAATTCGCATCATATCTTTCAACAAGATAAAAGAGAAAGAGAGAGAGAGAGAGAGTGAGAGAAAAAAATAGAGAGAGAGAAATAGAAATAAATCAATAATAAATAAAAAAGACTACAATAAAATAAAATAAGACATTTAAAAAAAAAATAAAAAAAAGAAAGAATAGAAGACACGGTTGAATTCGTAAAGAAGAAATTCTCTTAGAGAGAACGTGGCCTTTCTGATGCAGCCTGTGGCAAAAGCTGAACTAAACTTTCACTATGTGTCGTGTCGATCACTATGCCGTCATTCTCAGTACATTAACTACGAGCATTCCGTTTTGCATCCGGTCTCTCTCTTTCTCCCTTCATCTTTCCTAATATATATTTAATATTATCGATCTATTTATCCATCTATCTATGTATATATATATATACATGTATTCTTAATCACAGTCTTAATTATAGTAATATATTTATATAATAATTATAGTAATTTTTCATAGAATATGCTGCATTATTGCACACGGTCAAGCGTCGAAGACGTCCGGAAGCAAACAAGGAGATACAAAAACATTGGTACCAATCGAAGGTAATAAAAATATTGAAACAAAAAAAAGAAATGTCAAAGTTCGTAAGAGTTAGTAAGAGGAAATTAAAAAAAAAAAAAAAAAAAAAGGAGAAGGAGAGAGCAAAAGAAAAAGAGAGAGATAGAGAGAGATAGAGAGAGAGAGAGAGAGAGAGAGAGAAAGAGAGAGAAAAAAAAAGAATGTTCATATTTCAGAGTTCATAACGTCACATAAAATACCAGACGACTTGGTAAGGCCTATTGACGATGAAGAAAGTATCGAGGAGAAGAAGACGATTTCGAAAGATACGAAAAATTTGAAAAAAGTTAATTTGAAATTGGAATATTCGGATAGCAAAGGGACTGAGACATTAGATCCTACTAATGACGATGGATTGGATAAATTAGAAACGAAGAGGCAAGCTCGCGTCGAACTTGAAAATTTTAGTAATACTGGCGTTTTAGAAGAAGATGGTATCAAGAAAGTTGATTCACATCGAACGACTGTCAATCGTCAAAAAGATTCGATTCTTCCAGGAGTTTATGTCAGGTAAATTTAATTTAATCTTTAAAAATTATTCGAATATAAATCTATTAAGTTTAATATTAAAGGATTAAACGAATCGAACGAATTATGTTTCAGTAACGAATACCCAACCACAATGATGCCAATTTTAACAACGTCACGAGAAACTCGTTCGTTCGATTTCGTCCCTGTTAATATTATTCGTCAGGATGGCAAGGATGCTTATGCTTCCTTCTCCGATAGGCATTTCGATGATTTGAGTGACGTCAGTCTGGTACCAGCTGGTACAAATTCCCGTATTCAGGTAAATATTGTAATAGATGAAAAAAACAATTTATTTTCAATTTACACCTATTCAAATATATAAATTAATGTTAACATTTGATAACGTATATTTCAATCATTCGATCATTCTCTCTCTCTCTCTCTCTCTCTCCTTCTCTCTCTTTCTCTTTCTTTCTTTCTCTCTTTCTTTCTTTCTCTCTCTCTCTCTCTTTTTCTTTCTCTCTCTCTTTCTCTATCTCTCTTTGGTATAGGTGAAGAAAGGACCTAATGGAAAGGATTACGAATACGAGTATGTGTATTATTATTACGACGAGGAGGATGAAAATAAAGCTGGTACGTCCGGTACAGAAGTGACGAACAATTACGACGTAAATTCTAGAACAACGTCATCCCCAAGGAGAGTCGGTCAAAGCGGAAACAACAGAAGCAAATACAGCGCGGTTGATAGAAGCAGCAGCACGGTTGAACCAGCTAGCAATGAGGTCATTCCAAATAGAAATGGGAACAGGGGAAGGCAACTCGTTGAAACGGACGATGTCTCTGAGGAAAGATTACCAGCTAATACCAGATTTCCACCGAGGTAAATTGAATCAATTTTTGTAAAAAAAGTTACGAGCTCGAATTTTCTTGAAAAGGACTCATTGACTTTTTCTATCACTTGGAAACTTTTAGCCCATTCGACATTTTAACTGATGATAGATTTATTATTTAATTTGATAAATTGCAAATGATCAATATGAAAAATCTAATAATTTGAGGATACTTAGTAGATAGATCTCTATGTGTTCGTAGATCACGATCGAATCACAATACAGGCACAACGGAAGCAACTAGATCACGTGGAAATCGTCCAAGACCTGGTTTAGATCTCGTTGATTCCAGTAGTTTTCGAACTCATCAGGAAGGACCAGAATTTCCTCAGGTTTTGCCTAAAGGACCGGTAAGATTTCTCGGTGTGACACCTAACGAAGATACAGGTACAGAAGAGAAAACGGTGACTACAAGAGGACGTGGAAGACATAGGATTCAAGAACCTCTAGATATCGAAGATGTCTCTGAGAATCCACCGCCTGTTACACCTTTATCCAGAAGACGTCCTGTTACTACCATTCCTGAGGTATGACTGACGATACGATTTATAAACAATGATAATGAGGATATTAATAATAAAAAAAAAAAAAAGAAAAAGAATTAAACCATACGAATTGACTTTCGGCAAGTAAAATTTCAATCTTTATCATAAAAAAAAGAAATAAATACTTCTATTTGATTTTTTCTCAGGCTGAATTAGAATTGAACAAAGATCAATCCTCTAAAGTGTCCAGCGAGGAAGAAGAAGCGGACGAAGAAAGTGTCCCATCCCTTGAAATTTCCAAAGAGAAAACGTCGATTGAAGAAAAAGAAGGATCCGAGGAAACGGATTTATCTTCACCGGCATACACCAGTACAAATGCAATTACTACCGAAACTGCTATGACAACCGAGTATCCTTCAGCAATGGACAAAGTAGCTCTGGATCTTTATGCATTTTTACAAGGTCAAACCAACTTAGTAGACATGCCTGGAAATGAAACGAACGAATCGATTGATTCCACGACTTCGATCATTTCTGAAGATGATGGCTCGACAGATTTATTACCTACAACGACTGACTTTTCTGGGACAACAGCAGGTTCGACCGATCCTACGATTGGTACTACATCTATAAGTACAACAAGTACGACTACGACAACGACAACAACGACGACGACGACGACGAGTACTACAACACCTACTACAACAACGACTACCACTGAACCTACCACGACAACTACGACGACAGAAGCTCCTACTACCACTGTATCAAGTCCAATTGGCAGAGGCAAATTCCGTCGTCCTGGAGTATCAGGTGGTGGAGTTGGAAATAGAAATAGGTCGGTAAAAATTTACTCGATAATTTATTAATATCAACTTCATTGACGTTTCTTTTCGATATTTAGATTTAAGTCGAGTAATGGTAATCCAACGAGTACGACGGAAGCATCGTCGGTAGAGCCGACGCAGAGAACACGAAATCGTTTCGGAGGATCATCAAACGGTGGTGGATTTAAAAGACCAAGACCTGGTCAAAAGACGTCACAACAACAGCCGGTCGAGGAGGACGCTGTTCAGAAGGAATCAGTAGGTTCTGTGGCAGCTGAGAAGCCTAGTAGTTCGTCTCGTGGAAGATTCCGTAGTACGGTTGGTTCTCGAAGTGTCTCGACGACGTCATCACCTACCACTGGCACCAGTAGTGCCAGTAATAATGGCGCTTCTTCAGCCGGACCATCAGGAATCTCACGTCCTTCTTTCAACAAACTGAACATCAATCGAAAACGTGGAAGACCTACCACAGCCCCATCGACCACCAGTCAATCCGGTGAAGACAGTCAAGAAGAAAATGGACAAAGTCCAACAGCAGAAAGTGCAACTGTCAGTACAGTGTCATTGTCGCCATTAAAACCTGCTGTACGTTCGAGACTACCAGGATCTGGAAGTATCGGAGGACCAGGTAGATTACCTATAGTTAGACCACCGGCTGGAAGATTGAATTTAAGACAGAAACCAGGCCAAGCTACAACTCTAGGTACATCTACGACCAGTGCACCAGAGGAAGTAGCCGAAGGATCTGTCGAAGAGCCAGCTGGAGAAGGGACTGAGGAAGAAACACATGAGGTTAGTTGATAATTAGATTTAATTTTCGAGTATATTAATGAATTTCATCGTCGACATAGTCTCTTTGTTTTATTTTTCGAGATTACTTGATATTCTCGAGAGAATCACGAGATATTGGACAAAGATTAAATATAAGAATATATAAGACGATGATGTCATTATCCAACACAAAGTTCTCTCTCTCTCTCTCTCTCTCTCTCTCTCTCTCTCTCTCTCTCTCTCTCTCTCTTTCTCTCTCGAGTCGACTTTCACTGGATGGCCTTTCGAAATGTCATCGGCGAAGAGACTCTCGAACACTTTTAATCTTTCGACCTTCTTAAACGTCGCCAGTCACGAAAGAGAGTTAACTATTTCTTAGAAGAGAGAGAGAAAGAGAGAGAAATAAATATGATATAAACTTCACATTCTAAGAACGAATTATTGTCGTCACGTAGGCGCCTGCTGAGACGAATCCTCCGTTGGCATTAAAACCAACGACGGTCAATCCATTAAACAAACTCAGAAACAGAAATCGACTTCAGATACATCCAAAAGCAACGACTAAGGGGCCATCGCCGGTTGCAGCTTCGAGACGTTCACCTTTATTACCGCGTAGAAAACCAACCGTAACGGAGGCACCACCAGTTATTCAACAGACAAATAGTCAAGAAGAAACTTCTGAAGAGGAGACTGGATCGGCTGGTGCGGTCTCTGCCGATAACGAACAAGCGACAGAATCTTCGAGTTCGGCTGAGTCCAGCACGGCTGCCAGTACAAAACACGAAGAAACTAGAGGTTTCGGTGGTTTGCTTGCATCGAGACGTAGGATAGCACCAAGACGTCCAGGTCAAATAGTCTCTCGAGAGTAGATATCCCAGACAATCGATGATAACGATGAAGATGATGATGATGATGATGATGATAACAATAGCAACGACGATATATCTAATATCGCGCTGTTAACGAGACGACGATCCAAGTAGCGAGAAATATGATCGATAAAAATCATCGATTAAATCTAAATCATTACATACATATATGTATTATCGATATGTATTATATATTAATTATTCCCGTAACAATCATCGAGCTCTTGCTTTTGGTCCAAGGATATTAATTGTCTTTTTTTTTATCTTTTCTTTTTGTTTTTTTCTTCAATTAATTATTTAGATCGATCGCTACTTGGACGGAAACACCAAGATGGTAGCTACATTGTTATTTCTCCTTTTTTTTTCTTTTTTCTTTTTTTTTTTTTCTTTTTCTTTCGAAGCTTTACGAAACCCCTCTAACTTAAGTTTCGTAACAAGTCATTTAAAATAATATAATCGATGTTATCGACGAGCGACGAGGTTAAGCCATTTTATAATTTATCTGATTATATATAGTTGAAAGATGAAAATCATTCCTAAGATAAACGTTTCATTCGTTTCCTATCGTGCAATTCGTTTAATGCAATAACTCTAACCATCTTCTCGTTTCTTTTTTTTTCTTTTTTTTTTCTAAAAAGATAGGATAGAGCATCCAGTAACCTTTATAGGTTCTTAGACATTCGCTGCACCTTTTTGTTCAACTCGATAGAGGAATTCAATCGATCGTGGGCGCCTATTTGTAAAACTATTTATCCATTCCCTACTGTCGTATCTTCAACGTGTGCAGACATAAACACGTACACATACACATGCACATACGCACACACACACACACACGCATATACAGACACGCGTTAAACACAGAGATAGAAATATATCGTGCTTATTTGAATATCAAAGTTAAGAGGTCAAACGACATGTAACACAGCAAAGATGACCTTTACAACTTTGTTGTTTCTTTTTTTTTTTTATATACATATTACTTATAAATCATTTCTTTTTTTGTTTCTTTTTCATTCGAAATGACCTCATCGTTATGTATAATCAACATCACGAATTAAAAAAACGTGTCGCATATATAACGCACACATATACACGCATAAAGACACGCACATAACATACATTCGTAAGATATCAACGATAAAGGCGAGCTCTTTACTATTCCATCCGACGCGTATTATTAATACGTATAATATTTTGATAATCTACGCTCGTGTGGTCATGCTGTAATTCGCGCTATAAATGATTAACGAAAGCGTGTAACATTAACACGCATAGTAAATGAAAAAAAAAAAAAAAAAAAAGAAGCGGAAAAGAAAATTACGTGCGCCTACCCCTCGTCCCGGCCTCCTCCCCTTCAGCAATACAATACTTTTGTAAGCCATGTTCCATGAGAATACTCTGTAAATATTGCTATTAAATCTATGTAAACTATTATTTACGCGTGTTAGATATATACATATATGTATGCGTATGTATATATCAAACTCGTATGTTCCGTACATAATTAAAAAGAGAAAAGTGTTTCTTTAAGGTAATACTTTCAGAAATAACGCACGCACACGCGTACATATATATATATATACGCGTATTTTAATACGTAAAAGATGATAGATTACAAAAACTTTCTCCAACATTTAAACTACCGTGATACTCGAGCAAGTGTTGGGTAATATTCAATTTGATTTCAAGATAAACGATTACGATTAAAATCTTTCATTATTAATCGGAATAATGATTAAATTTTCATAATGTGTGTGTGTAATCATATATTAAAATAATTAAATTACTTATTTAACAATAAACGATTGTGAATTATATCCGTCGTCGTGAACTAAGAAAATTAATATTAATAAAAACGATAGGAATTAGATGATAATAGTTTTACCAGGATGTAAACTGATCGAAAATTCTTTTGTCTTTCTTTTCTTTTTTTTTTTTTTTTTTTTTTTTTTTTTTTTTTTTTTTTTTTTTTTTTTTTTTTTTTCAATGGTGATTTTAAAAATAGTTTAACAATTAATGCGTGAATAATTCACAGCAGCGTGTCCACAAAGTATTTCAACGTCAATGTGCGTATCTACGAATCTATGAAAAGATTCGTCAATGATTAGCAGTGTTACTTGATTATTCTGTATAAAAGAAGAAAAATACATATAGAGAAAAAAAAGAAATTAATTTCATTGATCGAATTAATAATCGAAGATATACGATTAACATTTAATTATTGAATGAAAAAAAATTAAATATTTAATTGTTAATCGTTAATTGTCAATTTTCAATATCATCGAATATACGTATATGTATATACGAAACATATATATTCGAGTATCTATACGGAAGATAAGAATGAAATCTTTCATATCAACTCGATGAATTCTCATTGGTAGAACAATGGCGCGGCAATGAGTAATAGTTCCTCATTCTACCGTTAGGTTCGCGGCGAATGGTTCAAAGTGAACTACAAATAAAAGAAAGCGTCAGCAAAGATGGTGAAGTCGAAGGACGGAGCTAAGCATTCTTAACGATCAAATGTCTAAATTAGTGGTGAAGAATACATTAAGAGTCGGTCAACATGTAAGTGTCGATTCACGAGGGATCTGCTCGATGTGAATAAAGCACTTGTCAGCTCTCGAGGAAAGCAGCTCGGAAAGACGTCGAGTAAGGTACGAGGAATAGCTGCTTACACGCTTTGTTTATGAAGATCAGCTGTGTTACCAAACATACGCGTCAATTTCGTTTCAACATTTTTCAACGTATCTATTTTCGTCGAGATAAAGGTCACACGTTAATATTAAGACGTAGCGACGATCCAAGGAACAACGTGAGGTTATAGCCTGGTATTTTATTCTTTTCGATTGGAAATCCTACGAGATTATAGCTTTTTTTTTATTCTAATCGACAAATTTCGGAGAAACGATGCATCGAGCGTTTCCCAGTTTCGACATCTTCAGCATGATAATCCTAAATCCATTTATTTTCTTTGTTCTCCGATCGTTATCGTTTTGATCAAATGGGTATTGCAATAAAGCATTTCTTCGAAACATCTCTCCAAGAGTATTTTCTTTCTTCTTGCTGCTTCAGTCATTTACATTTTCGATTACAGACTTTGACAAGACAAAATAGCCTACCTGTTTGTACATTTACATTAAGAAAATAAACATCATGAGAGGAGGAAGAAGGACCGATGATATTGTCTTCTTTGCAAATCAAAAAGTAGGAGCATGGATAAGCTATTGGTCAAATGAGCGATAGAGTCTATCGTGTTTATAAAGGTGACTTTGCTGTTAAATACGATAGCATTAGCATTAGGTATAATAAAATAGCTTGACTCGTGGTTAGTCCATTGATTCCAAGCATTTCAATTCCTTTTGCTATCGTCGTATATTTTATTTCTTTTTTCCTTCTTTCATCAAAATTATTTCTTCTCTCTCTCTCTCTCCCCCCCTCCCTCCCCATTCCCCCTTTCTCCTTTCTTTTCTTTTTTCTTATCTTTCCTCATTGTTATTAGCAAAGCATTAGCAATATTAGGTTTATGAAGTTTTATTACAGCTGATATTAGCCATTAGAAACACGTCAAAAATCGTATGGTTATTTATAAATTGCATCGTATCGAGATCTTCTACAAGAAGTTTTGTTTTAATGTACTATTGTCAAAAACCTAAGTAGAAATTAATCATCACAATTAATCATGGCCATGAATAAGCCATCATCTTAATGGCCATGTCTCTATCCTCCTCTTAACATATTTGGTTCATAATCTGCATTTTAGATGCAGATTTGGGAGCAACTTTCCACCAGTAGTTAAATAAGCTTAATGACATGAAAGAATGAAACGAGATACCGTCATTACCTGTGTGGAGCCAAACCGAAGAGCAAAAACGGTAAGGCTCCATCTCTAAGGTTCGATCGTATGTCATATATAAATGTTTGCATGTATCTTTTGTTATTGTATTCTTTGTTACAATTATCAATATATTTATATTGATATTATTGTCGTACATAAAATAGAAGAAACTGTCAATGGTTAAAATATTAATAAACAGTGTCTTCCATTATCGTAAATGTAATGATTCTGAGAAATTCATAGTCTATTTAATGATCTTTCTGTCATTTTTATATATTGTGGCACGTTAATCATGACTGTCTATATCGTCTATGTAAATTTCATTTAACGATTAATTTATTAACTATACAGATCAATTTCTTACACGTAACATTTACAGATGACAACTGTATTGGATGGTAGCTATCAACAGCTCGAGCCTTATGACGAGGGCGAGGGTGACGGTGACGATGACGACGAACGTGAAGAAACGCCTCAAGAATCAGGTGTAATGATACATGTGGTACCGGAGGGAAACAAAGCGAGATGGAATCATATAGAAGATTTGGATTCTTTCTTTACGAGAATGTATCATTATCATCAAAAGCATGGCTTTGCATGCATGATGCTTCAAGAAGTTTTTGAATTAGGACAATTCATTTTCGTAGTCACCTTTTCCACATTTCTCTTTCATTGTGTCGATTATTCCGTATTATTCAGGTAGGTTTATTTTATATATATATATATATATATATATATATATATATATATATATATATATATATGGTCAAACTATGAATTTCTTATGATACAATATGATAATGATATTTCTCTTCTATTTATTATCTTATCAAAATCTTTATATCCTTTTTATCCTTTAGAGATAAAATAATAAACAAACCGCAGAAAATATCGATCAACGATGCCATATTGTCAACGGGAGAATGCACAGCTTCTATGGGATTGTTCACGTGGATTTGCATTTTAGTAGCAGCTATTTTTTGGATTTTACGTGCCGTTAAAGTTCTTTATCACCTTACTCAGTTTTGGGATATAAAATTATTCTTTAATATAGCATTAAAAATTGAAGACTGTGATTTGGATAACTTAACGTGGCACGAAGTGCAAAAGAGAGTAAGAGAAGTTCAAAAAGAACAGGAAATGTGTATTCATAAAAGAGAACTCACGGAATTAGATATATATCATAGGATATTAAGATTTAAAAATTATATGGTGGCTATGATTAACAAGTCACTGCTACCTGTGCGACTTAAGGTCCCTATTATCGGTGAAGTCATTTTTATGACAAGAGGATTGAAATATAATATGGAACTACTCTTATTCTGTAAGTAGTAATTCACATACGTGTAAGATTATAGTAAGGAGAAATTATAATTAATTCAACAACGACCTTTTTGTTTGTTCATTTCGCCATAGGGGGGCCATGGTCGCCTTTTGAAAATAATTGGCACCTAAAGGAAGATTATAAAAAACTATGTAAGAGACAGGAACTGGCGCGAATATTATCGAAGCACATTTTATGGGTGGGAATAGCAAATTTTGTATTGTGCCCGTTAATTCTCTTGTGGCAAATCCTCTATTCATTTTTTAACTATGCCGAAGTGAGTCATCAAATAATATGATCAAGAAATCCTGCACGTTCGACCTTAAAATAGATACCGATTAAGCTTTTTCTGACAAATATCATACCACGTAAAATATCATTTTTACTTGTAGATCATAAAAAGAGAGCCAGGTACTCTGGGAACAAGAATGTGGTCTCTGTACGGTCGACTTTATCTTCGTCATTTCAACGAACTCGATCACGAATTAAATGCACGTTTAAATCGTGCCTACCGTCCAGCTTCGAAGTATATGAGTATATTTACTTCACCTATAATGACGGTTATTGCAAGAAATGTTACATTCGTAACTGGAAGTATATTAGCTGTTCTATTAATATTGACGGTATACGACGAAGATGTTCTAACGGTTGAACACGTTTTAACAACTATCACCATATTGGGTGGGATGGTAGCTGGTTCAAGAGCATTCATACCCGATGAAAATTTGGTATGGTGTCCAGAGGCATTATTGACCGCTGTGTTAGCACATACACATTATAGACCGGACAGTTGGCGAGGTCATGCTCACATGCAAACTACAAGAGCACAGGTAGCTCAACTCTTCCAATATCGTGCTGTTCATTTATTGGAAGAATTGATATCTCCTTTATTAACACCATTTATTTTGTGCTTCCACATGAGACAAAGAGCTTTAGATATCGTTGACTTTTATCGTAACTTTACTATCGAAGTAACTGGTGTCGGTGACGTATGTAGTTTCGCTCAGATGGATGTACGAAAGCATGGAAATCCAATGTGGCAAACTGTTGCTCAAAGTCCTATAGACGATCGTAATCCAGGATACGATAATCCTGGATATATCGCTGACACAGGAAAATTACACGTTCCTATGTCT